TAAGTAGCTAGAACTGTCTTTGAATAAAACTAGAAGTGGCATTAATTCTATGTAAATTAAGATAGCCAATAAAAGGGATGTTGACCAGTTTTTTGTGGGACTGTTTATGTAAATAGTTCATTTGTTGCTTCAACATAATTGAGATGGCATATTCTTCCATTTTAAAGAGAAGAGAAGATTATATGTGAATGTATGCTTGTGAAAATACTTTAGTTGGGACTGCTCGAGTATATGCCTAAAATGATTGGGAGGTTTGATTTTTATCAGTATTTTTCATATCTTTGATCAGTTGATTTTATTTTATTTTATAGAGTTTGTGATCCAGGCTGAGTACATCAGTGTTGATCCTTACCTAAGGTGGGTCAAATTTTACTTGGGAGAAAGGAGCAGTTAATGAATTAAACATTGAGATGTTCTATATGTCTGCATGGGTCCATTAGGCATGTTCATGACTTGAGTGCTAGGAAATTATAGTGTCCCTCTGCAGAGAAGACTGATTTAAAGAGAAAACATTGAATGATGTCAACTGAAAGGGCATTTTATTTTGCATCTTTCCAAGGTGTTTGAAAATCCTGTTCTCTCCTTCACATCATCGAACAGCTTCTAAACACTTAGGGTGTTATATTAAGTCATTCTCCATGATTGAGTACCATGTTTGCAACATTGGCCACTCAAAACTCCTGGGAGGCAACAATGTGAACTTTTTTATTAATGCTCAATGACCCAGGAATTCCTAGGATTGGAGAATGTGGCCTTGGAGCCATAATTACAAAATGAAAACATTCATTTTACAAGAACCTACAGAAAGTTGTTTCTCAAGAGTATTCCTGGTAAATCACATTGTCATTGTACTTCAAGAGCTTCCTGATTAAGCTGACCTATTTCATTCACTGTTGATACCTTACCCAAATCATTTAGGAGCTGCTTGATCTCAAGGAGGAAATACGTTTTTGAATCACTTCAGAAATATGTAGAATGAAATGCTCTTTCAGAGAACTTCATTGAAATTTTGATGTTTACATCAGCGTTCTAAATGTTCCCTATCGTTTCCCAGCTCCCTGTACACTTTGGTATGTGTGTACTCTTCATCTACTGGTTCAGATGACCCAACCATGAAGTTGAACCCCAAACCTACAAAATGAAAAAGGGAAATTGAAATTTTTTAAAAAAGTGACGGTTACTCACGTCAAGTTTTATTTAAGTCTGTAAAAAAGTATCAACAGTTACTGAAGTTGAAAACATGTTGGTTCATCTCGTCATAAATTTCGTCCTCGGGGAAATGTATGATATTGACTGATTTGCAATTTCACCCAGCTCAGAACCAGTATTTGATTTTAGGCTTTGGGAAATTAAAATGGAGACATTTCAATAAAGGCAAGATTGGGATACCAGCAGGGAAACAATAAAGCATACCTGTTTTCAATCCCTGTTTCACTATCACTAACAGAGTCTGAAATATTTGTGTGAGAATACAATGTTAATCCAGTTCACAGGCTTCAGAGTTCATAAATATGTTCCAAAATGTCCTGTTGGATTTCCATAGAATGAACATTAGATCTGTCACCCTAAGGCACTGACTAAAAAAATAAGTCAAGATGTGGAAATGGTTTCAGAGTTTGTAAAACCACATTCCACATGTGTTTTCACTTATACATGAAGTGGGTCAAACACGCCAAACCAAACCATACCCCTATCAGCTTTTCAACCTTTTTGGCCATGGTATGGTTAATCTAATCCATGCTAGCTCTTAAACTGGTATTAGTTATATGAAAAGTTGAACAGACATGGATAAGGGAAGCCTTTCTCCTTTTCAATTTCAAATTATATGTGGTTCACATGATCTAACATGTTCAGTACATCATGTATCAGTGAAAATGCTTTCTGGTCCAACTTCCAAGAGGTTGTGATATGTTTTCAGTTATGCGTCAGATCTCATTCTGCATCCCTTGCCAGGCATACGGCCAGTGTGGAGCAACATGAAACTCCCCCTATGGTCATGAATGGGACTCAAGTTGCTCGGTAGGTTCCCTTAATTTATTATTGTCTTGATAAGTTTGCCATAAACTTTTCAATTTACTGAGTGCTCTTTGAGATTATAGCATATGGTGTATGATGGCATCCTTCTCCCCCTTATTTGCTCAAAATGGCCAGACAAGCCATATTACAATCAGTGCTATGCATTTGGAAGCATGCTCATTTATCTTGTTAATCAGAAGAGTTGGACTCTTCACACTTAGCCATTGATATCCCAATTTCCTGGGCATTTTTCCATCTTTAAGGATTAATAATGCATTAAGATATGGAAGGTGGTCATTCTTCCATGAACAAAATACTAAGCATTCCTCTTTTTTCAGATTTGCTTTTGAGTCAGATACATTCAGAAACTCTCACTGAACCCTTCAAGTGATATTTTTATTTGCATCCCATGTTGCATGAAACTATGCAGAGCCAACATGCTACTTAGTTTTATTAATTTTCCATCAGGTTGAATAGGTTATCAAAGTAGGTAACCATGTAGCAAGCAATCAACCATTATTTCTAGAGCCCTTCTTTCTCTTGAGGAAAAAACATTCATGGTATGCTTTTGAGAGGTGCATTGCTTGTATTTTTAATGCCTCTGATTAATTTGACAAATTATAAATTTATCTTATTTAAATTGATGTTGGACTTTTCTCTACTTTCTTGCCAGGGTAGTGGCAAGTCGGAACAACAAGTACATAAATGGCACAGCCGTATTTGCAAATGTAGGTTGGCGCACTCACACTCTGATAAAGGGGCTCCTAGACGCTCTTCTAAAGTACCCAGAGTACCAAGAGGGATGGACGAAGAGGGGTGAAGGGTAGAGTGAACCGAACCCACGTACACCGTACGGACCCATTCTTTTACTAACAGAACGTTTATGAATAAGTCAGGTGTATTGAGTACCCCTCTATTATAATCAGGTTGATACAGGGCATTGCAAAAGAAAAAGTACATAAGAAATGTTCAGTATTTTTTTTGTGAGAGGAAGTACATCCTGGGATCATGAAAGGTTGACATTGCTTGGTAGAGTCATTTCATCAATTATTTCATACAAGCTTTGCATAATTTTGTTAATTGCCAGCTTGTCTATGATGTAGTTTTGCAAGTCAAGTATGAATGTGGAGTTGGTCTGTTAAATTCAGAAAGGGATGATATCCCTGCTGATGTCTTGCTTTTATGCCAGGAACACTGCTTATTTTGGATTCTTGGAGTTGTGTCAACCCAAGAAAGGAGAGACTGTTGTTGTCAATGCAGCTGCTGGGGCAGTTGGCAGTCTGGTGGGGCAAATTGCCAAAATCAAAGGTAATTTAATGGCTTTTGTAGCTAGCCATTAGAGGCCTCACAGCAAAGCCAGGAAGCTGCCTATGGTTCATTCAGTGACAGATGGTCTGCTCTTGGTAAAAAAAATCTGAAGGAATTGAATGGGAAAGACAAGCCCATTAAAATTCCAAACCATGGATCCCAAAATTATTTTATTACCAAAATCATGTGACACAAAATTCCCAGTCATGATGGAAATTGAAAATGGAATGAAAAATATCTCTGGATAGTGGTTTAAATTATTTGTGAAGAAACTTGAGTTCATACCAAGAAAGTTTAGCATGCTTAGTAATTTTTAGTTAGTTTTTTATATTTATAGTATATCTAGTGGTTTTTTAACCCTTTTAGTGTCAGAGTTGATGAGATTGACATTAAGAATTTAGTTTTAAAATGCTCAAGTCAAAGAGCTGGTACTAGAAGGGTTAAAGAAGTGCCTTTATACCATAAGTGGTATAAAGGCAGATGTTTCAGATAAAATGATTATTTCTTGGCTTACCCAGGAATCAATTCCCCATTTTTTCCATTGCAGAATGCCGGGTGATTGGGTATGCTGGGAGTGATGATAAAGTGGAGTGGCTGAAGGAACTGGGATTTGACCATGCTTATAATTACAAGACTGTTGATTTGGCTGCCTCACTTAAGGAAGCTGCACCAAATGGTATTGACTGCTTCTTTGACAATGTGAGACCAACCTCCTTTTCTAGCCATGATTTTCAGCAAAAATTGGCCCATGTCAATTTCTTGTAAATGTGGGATATGGATGTCTTAGTTTTCTAATGGGTTTTTAACAGGTTGGAGGGGAGATGACAGCTGTGATAATACAGCACATGAACACCTTTGGTCGTATGGCTATCTGTGGGTGTATCAGCAAGAAGGGTAATGATCCTGCAAAATGGCCAAAAGGTGAGAGACCTTTGTAAGGAGTTAATTCATCCTATGGGTTAACCAAGAAAATCCAACCTTCTAATAAAAATTTGCGATACTCTCTATTTTACAACTCTTCTGGCAACAATGAAGTAATAATTACATTTGTTTATGGTTTTTTTTCTTATTGTGCTTTCTTGCTGTGGTTGTCTTAAGTACTACTGTTTTGCTACTATATTTATTCATGTAAGTACATCATGAAAATGAATGCTTGACCTTTCTTAAGCCATTGACTATCTGCATGATGTATAAACACACCATGCCTTAACTCGCTATATATTAGCTTGATAACTGAATTTATATATTTCATTTAGAATTACCTCTGCAGTGTAGTTTGCTGCTAATAGAATTAAAAATTTCATGCAACATACATGTTGCTTGTTTTTTTTTTCTCAATTTCTTGTAGTGCACAGCATTTTTTTTTCTTATTTCTAGGCAGTAGTAATGGGTTACCTGATTGGGTTCTTTTGACTTGCTTTGGCCACTCACTGATTTGCTTTTATATTTGCAATATGGTAAAAAAAAAAAATTGTAATTCAATAGGTCAATTGGTCTCAAGGTGGAAATTAAACTTGACCCAAATTGATTGTTGAACTTGTTGCTGAATTGATATTTGTTGTTGATCAATGTTAGTTTTTTTACTTGTGATAATTAATGAGGAATGATCTGAAAACTGTCCTATGCTTGTGCAAAAATTAATGGGGGTCTATCAGATAAGAAGCACTGATAATCAGTTAGGTTTAAAGTAAAAAGAATTTCTCCATAAATAAAGTTTTAGTTACAATATTTTGGGGGGAAAAATGTTAAAATTCTCTTTTCATAGAATGGGCATGGTTCAAAAATTGTTTTTTTTTTACATGCATTATATTTGTTCCATTTTTTGCAACTGGAACTCAGTTCAGTGAAAAGAGGAATCTTTAATTGCTTTTGTTCTGTCATTTCAGTGCCCCAGTGGACTCCTGTTGTGTTGTTCAAGCAACTTCGCATTGAAGGGTTCATCGTCTTGCGTTGGATGGATCGATGGAATGAGGGAGTGCACCAGATGATTAAGTGGGTCAAGGAGGTAAGGAAATGTTTTTAAGAAATGCCTTAACATGGCTTTGATAAAATGAAATATCATATGTCCTCTTGGAACTTGGAACTTGGAACCATCAAAAAGAGAAGTACAAGTTGTGAACTTGGTGCTGAACATTTGGCACAAGGCTCTAGATCATTGTTTCCCAAATGGTGTGCCACAGCACACTGGTAACGGCACACACCAGTAATGCTTAGGTGTGCCATGAGATGTGAGAGTTGACGAAAAAAACTAAAATCCTAAAGCTAGAAAAACTTAATTCAAGAGGGAACACCATCTCTCAGTGGAAAACAAACTTAGAGATGCACTATCATGCCTCATATCAAGCTGCTGTGTTCAGTGAAGCAAGCACAAGTTTCCCATTGAAAGTAAGTAAATGGCTGGGTGTACCGTGGAAAGTTCAAGTGTCCTTATGTGTGCCACAAATAAAAAAAGATTGGGAACCACTGCTCTAGATACTTTCTGGTTTTTGTTAATTTGTTATCCTGTAGCCATATAGAGGATGTACTCCAGATGAACATTCTCTGAGACTTTTTGTTCTGCATGCAGCCTACAGACCACACTTTGAGCACCCTTGTCTTATCTACTTACTGCCAAAAAAAGTATGACCAAGAAGGGGTTTTGCAATTTTAATGAAACTTGATACATGAAATTCTACTAGTGTATTATGAAATCAATTGGAGTTTGAAGGGTATGGATATAAAATTCATAGGGAGAACTTGCCAAACTCACCCATTTTAATAGTAGCTATAGGGCTATACTAATCACCCAAAACAATAACCAAGAAGGATTCTATGGTGAAATGTTGTTGGAGAACTCTAAGATGTGTGAAAATTTGAGCAGAGTTTCAAAATCATGAGATGAGGCAATCCTGAGAATATTTGCTAAATGTCTGAGGAATTTGGAAAGTGGGCACACCAATGAAGGTGCCAATTTCCTCCTTTCTTCCCCTCAACCTACTTCTCTATCTAGAGCCTTTTTTCAGGGTCTAACTGAAAGGAAGTACCAAAAATAAATTTTTAAAGGCAATTTCAACAAGTAATTAAATGTCTGTCCTATAATCAGTCCGTTCTTTTATAGGGGAAGCTGAAGTATCGGGAGACAGTGACAACAGGATTCGAGAAAACCCCTGAGGCATTTGTGGGTATGCTAAAGGGGGAAAACATTGGGAAGGCCATTGTGAAGGTGAACTTCCAGGGGTGTGAATAGGTCCTCCAATCAGCATTGCTCATATCAAACATCAATGTTATGAGGTTTTGTGTTATATTGATTGTAGCTTTAAGTTACATCATTTTGGTTCCATGCTTTTGCATCAATCAAGCAGTCAATTTCATAAACTTTTTTATTGGAGAATGACTTGTGTTGTATGGCATGAATATGGAATTGATCAGAAGCTAAGATTCTCTTTGTTAAATTTCAATAGTGAATATAATAGACTTCTAATTGAGACAACCAAAAGTGTCTTTGGATGAGACAAGCCTAACATTAACCCTCAAATGTAGATATATGTCACGGGCAACCCATATACAAGTACAATTCCTAAATCTTTGAAATGACATGATTTGAACTCATGTGTCGATGGACTTGACATCTGGAGAGAATTGAAGCTACTTAAGTTTTCTTGTTTCATTTCATGACATGACTTTAGGTGGCTATTTGTCACTGATCCCTGGGGCCATATTCCTGGCTAAGGACAGATTTGATGCCTGTCCCTGGGATTATTATCTTGACATTATAGGCTTCTTTGATAGTAGCAGGAAGTCATTATACAGCAGGAAATTGAATTCTCTTTCATTCATATTTATCATATTTACTCGTGTATCAGGCACATTTGTTTGGCATATTTTATTAGTGTTCTATGAGGGGGGTGTGTCATATACTGGGGGGGGGGAAAATTATATTTTTCAAGAAAAGTTTTTTTTCACCATACCTATGACTCATTTGTCACTTATTGAGATGGAAACAGTGTCTGTATTCAGTCAGAACAGTGGGAAATATAATAGTTATAAAACAGTAAACAGGGAATGGCTGCGTCGATTCGCAGACTTCATTCGGTATCAGAATCGGAATCTGAGTTGTCTGACAGTGTAGAAAATTGATTCGCAGAGCTCTCATCCTCTGAGGGGCTATTCCAGAGACAATCATTTCTCATTGAAAATTTTGAACTACTGAGATTTTCCAGCAAAGAGAAAATCCAACTTGATTCATGAATCTCTCTGTTCATCTTGTGTCTCGATAACCTAATTTTGCACATAGACTGTCCTTTTGAGACCAAAAACCGGCAAAGAGTGCCAGAATGAAGCAAAATGTTTACATGGTATGCTTCAAGGATTTTACTACAGAATTACAGACTCACACTTTTATGTATTTGGCCACTTCATTCTTGATTACCAGAAATGATCCCTTTTCCCCATGAAAGGCCATGAAATTCTTTTAAGCCCAGCTCAATTTCACTTTCACCTCGACCTGCTTCTGTATACAGCTTTCCTCGATGTCATACTTTCGACCTAGTGCATGGATGCCCAACTCCTTTGCTTCCTGAATCACATTGATTTCTATGCTGCTACGTAACTTCACCACACATTTCAAACAATTTTCATGGATGATAAAACAAACATTAGGGATACTGTGCCCTCCCTTGATAAAGGTCAGGACAGTAAATAAGAAACTAGGTTCAACCGACCTCACGATCGGCTTTACTCCCTACTCATCTCCCATTGTCCTACACTTTTCGTTATGAAATAAGGGGTGTGCCTTATACATGGGAATTTTTTTTCACATGAATCTGGACTTAAAAAGGTGGGGTGCATCTTATGCACAGTGGTGCACTATACTCGAATAAATACAGTATTTCAGATTCGACAAAATTGTGTACATGAATTGTGTGAAAGGACCATTCCTGTACTCCTTAAGCTTGCTGCAGCTTATCAGGCATCTCAAGCCTCATGCTGACAAGCTGCTGTTGCTACTTTTGTACAATTGATGGCAAAATACTGTAGGCTATTTGTCTTATTTGATGTATACGTCCAGCCCGGCTTGGAAGTGGATGACATTCGTGAAATTCAGTTTAATTAATGTTTCCATGTATTTCTCAACTGCAGCAAATGCATCCATAGGTTATTTGTTAAAAAAAAAAAGGCTCATAGTGATGGCAATGAATGTTTCATAAGCCATCAATTGTGGCACCAACACAACCGTTGCACATGCCCTCAACTTTGAAAGAGCCGGTGAAAGAGGTTTATGCACAGTTTTGTTTCTTGTTTTGGTATTGGCATTTTACTCAATCTTCATTAAATTTAAAATGAATTGGAGGCCTACATTGTTGCCATCTTGCTGTAATTGACCTACCCCATCTTCTTGCAGATAATTTTTGCTGTCCTTGGCCAATCCTGCTATTTAGATTTTAGGCCTGCTTGCATCTTTTTTTTACACTGATAAAGCCTCTTGAAGATGCCTATTCGTGCCAAGAAATGGATCCTCCTCAATGAGTTTGTTGGGGAGCCAAAACCATCTGACTTCAAACTGGAGGAAGAAGATGTGCTAGGGGAGAACATTGGGGAACTCCAGCCTGGAGGTGAGTCTTCGCAGTCTCATGATTTTTGCTTATTGGTGGAAAAGTGAGACTATCAAAAGTGCCTTTAGAATGAAACCCTGCTTGATATTAGTCCTTGAATGCATGTCAATTCCAGTTGGCACATTTTGTGTTGGCTATGCATATGGTTTATAGAAAGGTAGGATATGCATCTATCAGAAGCTTTATCATTGCAGCTTCTCATTCCAGCTGCATACAATTTGGAACATGCCATTTTATTTGTATAGTGTGACCATCAAACTAGAGATTATCGCCATATGCACAATTCTCACTTATCTCTATGATCCCAAAATGCAGTCTGAGTGTACACTTCCCTTGGGTGTTGGATTGTGTGCATACTACCCTTAATTATTCCTAATAGCAACTATATTTGGAAATGTATAGTATATCGGATGTAGCTTTGTCATAATTGGCAGGCTATATAAATATCACTGAAGTTTTTTTCTCTCTATTCCTATAGTTTTCAATTTCTGCACTTTATTAGTCATATTCCATAGTTTACAACAACAACTCATGGGAACCATTTGAGTGCTGTATATAAAGAATAAAGACAGGATGAGATTTTCTTTTCCACTTTTACAGTATAAGAGTGAACTCCTATTACCATAATTCTTTTCATTTTGAGAATTTATGGCATACTTATCAAGTTAATATGTCAATGTGTCAATAGTCAAAGTCAATGTGTTAATAATGAATTATTATATTTTTTGTGGTTTTATATGTTGTTTCATTTTATGCCATTCTGTTTTGCAGAATTTGTGATACAGGCTGAGTACATCAGTGTTGATCCATACCTGAGGTAAGTATAAGTATTTCTATAAGCTTCATTCTGGAAAGCAGGAAAAAATGCAGCAGTATTGTACATATTTACATATGCCTGGACAAGTGTGTTGCTCATGTGCAATGCATTTTGATATATGTATGTTATCCTTACATTTAAATGTATAATGCTAAAAAATGAATTGGAATCGGAAGTAAAGTTTGAAGTTAATAATTCCTGAACCAACATAATGGAATTGAGCTGTTATTCAAAATGGAATGTCTGGAATTTTGACATTACAGTACTTTGTTCATATGAATCCTTCTTCCATAGAGATACACAAATCCAAAGGGTGGATACCCATAAAGAAAGTTCAGCCCCTGATTGTAAGAGAATCTAGAAGTCCTGATGAAGTTTTCCTCACTAGAAATTATCCACCACACAACTAGATCCAGCCTTCATGAACTAAATTGCATGTTCACTGACCCTCCCCCCCAGAGGTGCTTTGAGTTGGCATATGAAGGTATTTATGATTAATTTCTTCCCTTTTTGGAGAATTTCAGTATGTCAGTTGTTGTTTCATATCCTGTTGAGGAAAAAAAAAAGAGAAATCGTGTGAAGCATTCATGAGGTTTCTCAAAAGTCCATGCATACAATTTGCAATATTGATTCATTTTCAGGTTTTTAGGCTTTAGGTTTTCATAAATCAAGTTGTAAAAGTGCATTGGGTGCATCTGTGTTTTAGAGTGAGTTTGGAGCGACATGGAACTCCTCCTATGGTCATGAATGGGACTCAAGTTGCACGGTATGTTCTGTGTGCTATTATGATGAGAAAGTGTATACTGCCAGCTAATTATTTAGCCTACATTCATTAATTGGTTCAATGCATTTCAAGATTCAAGTACTGGGCATATTAAAGCTACTATATCCACCATCTCATTGTCATAACAGTTGAAGAAGCAGTATTGCTGAGAGTATTGCATTGTATTGTAGAGCACAGAGAAGTATGAGTATTTCTCTCTTTTCCATTCTTTGCTTAATGATTAAAATAAGTATTCAGAAATCATGTAAGTATAACTGAACTCTCATGTTTCATACCAGTACCCAAATTGGCCATTGTTGACTGACTGCTAGATTAATCAGGAATCTAAAAATCTTTCATCAATATTAAAAGACTATAAATGGCCATTAAGGTTTTAATCATCTTCAGTTTTCTTCATTTTGCTTTTTCACTCCTGATAATTTTGCAATCTTCTCATTCAGGGACAGTATATGTATTGGTTTTCAAGTATGGAAAAAAAGGGGTCAATATGACAAGGAAAATCAAATGGAACAGTCTCCCCAGATGCTGGGCTTTTGAGATATGCATATCCAATATGAGGAACATAAAATATAACAGTCCCCTTCATGAGAGCAAGAGCTTGGTCATTTGCTTCATGAATGTCACTCAATTCCAGACATGTAAGGGTGAATTAATATGTGCACAGGGACAATCAGTAGCATTTTTTGGGATTGGTTAATGTTATGACATGAGATCCTAATTCTGAGAGGATGAGTTAGTAGTACTAGTGAAGATCTGTTACAATAGCAGAGTGAAGAGTTCTCCTAACAGTTGCTTAATACAAATCACAAAGAATGAAAATGTTGAACTCTGTCACTCTCTCTTTCCAGTGACTCTCAAAGTAACCTGATCTTCTAATTTCGTGTTTGATTTCAATCCCACTCTTGGCTTGGCAAACCTATGTTGCACTCATAAAGGGATGCCCTGAAAATGTATCCCCCCAAAATATCCTCAAAAATTCAGTCTGGTGTGTCCCATTTTGAGAGAAGTAGATATGAAAGACATGATGGGTTTTCCATTTGTACCCTATGAGATATGAAACTGAAAACCTCATATGCAAATAGGTTTTATTTGCTAAACTTTTCATCAGACCAAAGAGGCTAATGAAGTTGCTGAAGCATGTAATGTGCTTTTGCTACAATTCGTGAAGCACTTTGTTAATTTAAGGAAGATAATAAAGTTTCTGGTATATCTTGTTATGTGTGCATTAATTCAGTCCTGCCAGTGATGAGCACATGATGACTTCAGTTCACTGAACTTTTGATGAATATTCTGTGCTCTCTTGTCAGGGTGAGACTGAGTCGAAACAACAAGTACATAAATGGCACGGCCGTGGTTGCAAATGTTGGATGGCGTACGCACACACTGATCACACCAGAGACCCTGCGAGAAAACTTCACTGGTCTTGTGATTCTCCCCTCCTGCTTCTCTCCACTACCCATCTCACTTGCCTTGGGCACCTGTGGCATGCCTGGGTAAGACCTTCATTGCCTCCATGTCCAGGATAGACTGGCCCACAAATGGATATGTAGAAAATACAGCTCTCTATCATTTTTGCAATATTTTTCAAGATTCAACTGGAATATTAATAATTTCAGACTTATTCCTTTAAAACTATGAAGTGACATTTGAAGTCCACTTTCTTCTTTTCAAATGAGCTCTTGGTTATGACCCTTCAGGCCAAGTAGACAAAGATCTTTGAATTTTTTAATTGCGCTGTTGCTTGACTGACATCATTTATGCTCTAGAAATACTGCATACTTTGGATTCTTGGAGTTGTGCCAGCCAAAGAAAGGCGAGACAGTTGTAGTCAATGCAGCTGCTGGAGCAGTTGGCAGCCTGGTGGGACAGATTGCCAAAATCAAAGGTATTTCTTGTCTTCTAATGGTTTTCCTAACTATATTCAGAAGCTTCATATGACACAACAGGGAACTCATAAGCAGCCTCTTTGTTTTTCTACTTTTCAGTTGATATGCCATGGTTTCATTGGCTTATTGTCATTAGCTGTGCTTCTCTTCACATTCTAAAGATCATGAAACAATGGATTCAAATAGAAAAAAGATTCCATCTTTAGTTTTTCACCAACTTCATATGTCTTTCCAAAACATTTTCTGCATAAATCTTGATGCAAATATTGGGAAATATGTTGTACCACTTGCCTTTTTGGGGATCTCATAGGCCTATGACAAAACTTAGTGAGAGCGTGAAGGATGAAGACTTAAATGTGCTTCTGTTGGAGAATCCTGTATTCCATCAATGAGAGACTGGCACATATCCTGGAAAACATGACCATGGAGATGGTGAGATGCACTAAGATGACTGCTGCCTCTCACTTGTCATCTTGGTTTCTAAGGCAGCTACTGAATTTCTTGTTGCTGGGGGCTCTTCATAGTTTTCAGGATAATGAGTACTTTGCAACTTACCAAATTGATCCTGTAATTCCAGTTGTGCCTTTACATTATGCTCATGCTTGACCCTTTCGGTACAGAGTTTGGAAGTCATTATCGTAATCCATGGACTGAGTTAGTTTTGCGGAAGATGTACAATGTGGATACCAGTCCAAAAGGCACAGCCTACTATAAACGTGTATACGCGTTCACAGTATGTAAAGGGTTAAGGCAGTGTTCAGCATAAACATATTTTTAAAGTGAGGATTGAGGTTACTTTTATTTCACCCATAGAATGTCGTGTGATTGGGTATGCTGGAAGTGATGATAAGGTGGAGTGGCTGAAGGAACTGGGGTTTGACCATGCATATAATTACAAGACTGTTGATTTGGCTGCATCGCTCAAGGAAGCTGCCCCAAATGGTGTTGATTGTTTCTTTGACAATGTGAGACTACTGTTTTTACTCACCAAGCTGTTTAATGGACCTCCTATGCTGTTTTCTTGCCAATGTTGAATGACCATCATGCCATGGCTGTGACTTTGATAGGTTGGAGGGGAGATGACTGCTGTGATAATGCAGCACATGAATACCTTTGGTCGTATGGCTATCTGTGGAAGTATCAGTGGTTATAATGATGACCGTGCAAATATGCCAAAAGGTGAGAGGCATACTTGTTCTTTTATGACTTTACCTTCTTGGGTCTTGCAAAAAATCTAAAATTACTAATCATTCTTGGAAATGAAGTAAAGTCAGTGTTGCAGTGATTAACATATGCATCTGACTTGTGTTAGCATGGTGCATCATAAAGTTGAATTGTTATTTCCAGAAAAAAATTGCCTATTGGATTTTTTCTGTTTTTTTTTTTGTTGTTGACATCTCTGGATGATAGTTTGTAATACTTGTGTGCATAATGGGAGTAATATCTAACCTTAATTAATAAAATTTTGTTAAAAGATGCATTTATTGAACTGAACAGTCTGATTTATCCATAACTTATTCTACTGTGAGTTAAGGCCTTGGGCTTGAAAGAGACCCATCTGTAGATGTTTCAATTGTCTCCAATTTGAGTGCTCAGAATCGGTATATTTATCTCTTGATTGCAATGGAAAACCTAGTGGAATGAAGTTTAATGGAGAAATGGAATGTTTTAGTGGCTTTTCTAAATTACATTATTGCAGTGCCTCAGTGGACTCCAGTTGTGCTGTTTAAGCAACTTCGCATCGAAGGCTTCATCGTTTTGCGTTGGATGGATCGATGGAATGAAGGAGTGCAACAGATGGCAGAATGGGTCAAGGAGGTAATGCGAAGTGATTTTGTATTTTCTTAGCTGAATTTAAATGTGTGGTATAGACATAGTCTCATAGGGATTAGGAAGCTATTCATCAACAGAGAACATGTTTCAACAAGCAAATGAAATCTGTACAGTATTTATGTAATTTATTGAATTGAACCTTAACCCTTTGAGCCCTCAGTTCCTGAGCAATTTTGAGCCTTCTGCCTGAGCTCCTGGGCCAAAATTTGCTAATAATGGGTATACAATGTTTGTGCAAATATCATAGTTGTAATAAAAGAAATGAGATTGATGCTTTGCATGCAAAATGACGTACCTTCATTTTAACGCCAGAATTCTTTCTTTGTGTGCCAATCAGGCAATACGTCATTTCTCTCTACCACCGGTAAAGCGGTGGTGAGGGCTCAAAGGGTTAATGAATTTTTGTGTGAGGGCATATTTTTGTTAACTGCAGAAGTCTGCAACTCAGATTCTTTTCATTGGTGGCTGTTAGAATATTTACCTATGTAGTGTATGTTAGTTTTATTTGCACTTGATGTTTCTTTCAAATTTAACGCTAAGTTAAGAGAGACTCGGAATTCTGCCACATCAGGAGATGGATTGAGCATTCCTTGACTACTTGCCTCTGATCCTTTTCTGTTATTCCCTTTGTTAATCCTTTTGCTCCCTTTTTGATGTCCTGTCATTCTGGAACTTTAAATGAATGAGTCTTTCATGATCAGCACATCAAGTCTGAATGATCCTTAAGTATTAAGTTAAGTATTAAGGAAGCATACAAGCTATATTTGTAGCTGATCAACAAAGAAGTTTCATCAACTGCAATTAAAATTTCTCTGACTACCATGAAATGGTCATATATTTCACCTCTACAGGAGCAACCTCTAAAACCCCTTATGCACAAAGCAATGAATTTGGTAAATGTTAACTTCTTTTACAGTTTGAACATTTAGGTAAATGTAGCTAATACCACTCAGTGACCACACAATAAAAATTGCTAGCCAATGCTTGTTCAGGCAAGAAATTCTGAATCACTTGGGGAATTGTAACTGGAATATGTCTGTAAATGTAAAAAGAACGTTTTTTTAATTTGGTTTAATTTTTTCATCTGGGTTGCTTTCCCAATATGCATGTCCTGTTCTATTCCTATAGGGACAATTGAAGTATCGTGAGACAGTGACAACAGGGTTTGAGAAAACCCCTGAGGCTTTCATAGGCATGCTCAAGGGAGAAAACACTGGGAAGGCTGTTGTGAAGGTGAATTTGCAGGGATGTGATTAGCATCTGAGCTTGCCATATCAAAATTTTATCAACACGTATCAAGCATCTCGTACATTTTCAGGGGCCATATTGTCTTGAAATTGCCTGCTTTATTTTGTTATCTGATTTTTATGGGCTGCATGATTTTTAAGTTTAGTGCAACTTCATCCTGATGGTTGCACTTTTTCAAGTGGTTTATATTTCATGAAGGTGCTGCTTTGATATATTTTTAATTAATTGTTTATCTTGAATGAATAAATATGGAATATGCTGCTTATAATGTTTTTTTTTGTTGCTGTGTGAGGTATGAGTGAATGGAAATGGTAAAAATGTGTCTTTTCATTTCCTTTGGAATGAGATTGTTATACCGGGTCTCTGCAAGAAGGATGCTATATTTTGTTTAATTCATATATTACAAAGTATTTTATCCTTTGTGAAGGTAATGATGTATCTACAACACCTCATTATTTTCACAGAAGTTTTATTCAAGTTAAAACTTTCTCAGTAGGTTTATATGGAAATATTTTTTGTGATTGTGTTTACAATGCTTTGAAGGACATTCTCTGGTGTATTATCAGAATATTTCCTGTCGACATGACCATTCAAATTGTCTAGCATCTCCAGTATCTTCACATTTCTTTACTAGTCTCTTTATTGCATATCTGCTTCGGGCTTCCCTTGCTCTAAATTCTGCTTTAAAAGCCCTGAGGTAATACTCTATATTGAAATAAATTGAGCAATAAATATAGGCTGAGCACATTGACTAAAAGTTCAGAAAAAACTCTACAGGTAACACAATACAATTGGTCAATTCTCAAAGCCTTAACTAAAGTAACTTGTCCTATATGAATTTGCAAAAATCCTGTTTAGGAGACCCTCAGTAATTCACTAATGATCCCAAGGGCCATACTTTTGGCACAGGACAGGCTTGATGCATGTCCCTGGGACAAGTGCCTCTACTTTCTCTGCCACTCATGTAAACATTTTGATTTTAATTGCTTTCTTCCTTATTGATGGATTCAAACTTGTGGTTTGTGCTCCAAATGGAGTGATGGGAACTAAGCAACAGCTTTGACCCATTGTTTGCTCTCTCCTCTTGGATCAGATCCAACATTTGTCATAGCATTATGAAAGATGAAACATAAAGGGTTTAAAACTATGCTTTGCTCCTTTCACGTTTGCCTCAAATATTAAAAAAGTCAGTTTGAGACATACTGTGGGATTCTCCCAGTAACTCTAGAGCAGGGGTGTGTGAACTTTTTAGCCTGCAGGATGCTGCCACATACTGTATCCAACTCGGGTTGAAGTATGCCCACCTCTTCTTTAGAGCATGCTTGCAGGACATCTTTGTCATTGATGTTAAAACATGCCTTGTATCTTTTTGAGGGGTGGGGGGATCTGTCCATAGCTTGAGAGTGTGGATAATTATCCTAACCCTTTAATACATTATTTTTTCTTTTTCGATGAAGAAAATCTGGTAGGTTTCACTTACCTCCTAGAACATGGGAAAAGTGGAAAAAAAAAATTTCCCTTGAATTTGTAAGCAGTAGGTGCAAAAATGTTATTGTTGCTCATGTGTTACAAATGGCATTTATAGCTTTCTAAACCATGCTGCATGGCTGCTAGACAGCTCAATCTGTCCATCCATCAACATTCGTACATACCTCAACGCAAAAGAAAGTGTAAAAATGTGGTTGAGCCTGGACACTGGATTACTGTAAAGTTGAAAATAATTCCACCAAAAACATCAATCTGTCACATGATGAAGCCAGGTGTTTTTAATTTGCTTGCCACCAGGAGTGTATCACACCTAGTGACTGCATGGTTGCTAGGTATAAGGACTGGACTGTTTCACATCTGCTACAAACAGATTTACCTCAGAACTTGCTACCTATTCATTATAAAAATGTTCATTTGGTATGTGGCATGTCTGCTACATCATGCATTAAAGGGTTAAAATATGGGATGAAAAAGTTGAATTCAGATTTCTTTTCCTTGACAGTATCAGATCAGTAAATGCATTCAATGCAAAGGCACTGGTGGATGGGATTTTATTTGATACATTCATGTTACTTCATCTTCCTGCAAGCAGTCCATCATTCAAAACTTGTATGTTAAAAAAAAATGATTACCAATGCTGTACATCCTGCTAGTAAGAGCCCGATTTCATCATGCCTTTGAACAAAAGTTTTTTTTAAATTGAATTAAAAGGTAGGAGGAAGTTCATGTCCAACCTAGAGATCCCAGGGAATGCTCTTGACACTACTACTGCACTATCTTGAAAAATAATTAGCAACTTTTTTTTAGAATATTATCTCCATCCAGAATTGTATAGATACATGTTTTTCTATGCATGACATCTCATATGAATCAGAAGATCTTTGCCAAGGTTTAGCATTTTACCCTGTACTTCAAATGTGAATACTTTTTATAATTGGAGAATCAGAAATCTCTGTGGACAAGCAATCTACAGACTGCTTCTCACAGAGAAGTCCTTTTAGTGTGCTCAAAAGATGGCTGAGACAGTTCATGATGAAAATCATTTTTGCAGTGCCTTGCACTTATATTAAAAGGTGCCATTTTCTATGATGAGGTGTTCATCTTCTCTACTGGATCCCATGATTTTTTAAATTTAGAATTATGAATCATTATGCAGCAAAAAACTGCTAAGATAATTAGGCTTGAGGCTAGCAGAAAAGAAAAAAGAAGGCAACAAAAATGAAAAGCAAGCATGAAAACATATGAAAATAGCTATCAAAGACAAATGTCTCTGCTGTCACCACCCATCACCTGCAATTGTGTTTGAATGATGAAAAACTGATGTATCTGGAAAGAAGCAGTGTGAAGTTTGCTGCTCTTATCAATACTTCAGTTTTTTTTAAGTTGCATATGAAAATCCAAGAGATATTATTTTAAACATGACTGAAGTCTTCCTTACTCATCTGAGATGTGTAGAAAAACACCGGGTTCACATATTGGATGTCAATGCTTAAAAAAAAGTAAAGCCACTTCTTTGTTTTTCCCCAGAAAAGTGTTGTGTTGTGTGAAAGTGGACTTTTTGGCCTCTTTGTAGATGAATGGCTTGGGCATAAGATGAGTAATGTCTAAATGAGATGCAGAGAATAAAAGAGAAGCTGCAGGAGAAGGAGGCAGATGCCTGGGCTGAGGAAGAACGGAAACGGCTGGCAACCAGTGAAGCCTACTTCAGGTATATCTTTACTTATAGGTTCATTGGTAGCAAATCAGTGGGACCACATAGTGTTGATTGAAGATTAACAGAAATCTCTTGTGGGTCTTTCACTGTTTGCAGTTTGTCTCATAATAAATGTAGTGGTTTTCAGTCAATATTTAAACAAAACTGCCCTTTGCCTGTTTTCCTCTAAAATCTCCAATGAATGCAATTATTTATGCTGACAGACAGTGGAAAAATTCCAGAGCCAAGAGAGTGTTATTGTCTGCCAATGTTGATGGCACTTTTCAAGTTTCAGATAGCAAAAATTGAAGACTCTGATGGTAGTGATACACATGTAGGAGATTTTGCTTGGTTTGAGACAATGTTACAGAGTATTCTCTTTTCATTAGCCAAGAGAGTGCTCCAGAGTAGGCAGCATAGGAAGCAGAGATATGGAATATCAATTCAGGACTTTGTGACAATAAAATTTTGCCTAAAAAGTCACTAAATTTGTTTCATTGCAGTTTTAATAAGTGCGTAACACATGAATAACAATTGCAGAGGCTGAAGGGGTCAGTGATGAAATCTGTGCAATAGAGCATCTATTACTTCTCTTGACTGTAAATCAGTGCCTTAGAGTATTAACTTAAAAATAAATAGGTGTTAGTCTTTTCATTGCACTGCAAACCATCTTATCCCCCCCTCCTGAATTGAAGGAAACGAGTGGTGGAAGCCAGTGAGGAGATTCGAGACCTGGAGGCAAGGCTAAGGGCAGCTTATGTGCAGAAAGAGCTTGCAGCTCAACAGGCTGAACGCCAACTTCGCACGCAGCTTCTCAAGGTCTGCCTCTTCTAGAGTACTTTTTTTTATAAGCCAATAGCATATTAGCCAATAAAATGGTATTAAAATAAAAAATTTATGGGCTATAGAGGTCCTGACTTAGCCAACCACTGCCACAGAATAGGGAAAACAGCAAGCCATCTGGTTTGACTTGTATCATCTGCACTATAGCTTTCATTTCCTGCTAGAGAACCATGCAGGGATCCAGTATTGGTTTTGACCATACATGTGCCTTGTTTCTCTCCTTGGACAGCTTGATTGGCTCTTGGCATACACTTGCAGCTCAAGAAAGCTCATTCAAATTGTTCCATGTCTTTTGACATTCTACTGGAAGAAAATTGCCTTATTAGAAAGAACAATAGCAGGATAATTTCACTCCATGTGGAACCTGAAGGAACCAACCACCTACTCATGCCTTGTGCATTGCTATTGCCAGGGCCCCAAAGAAAATCCACCCAGTTTTTATCACAACTCCAGGCATAGAAAGATGTACTGCTCAATGTCCTGATATTAATGGATGGTATTCTTACATTTCAATAAAAATCGTTAGATTCTGAGAATTTCATACTTTCCAATGATGGTAAATTCTGCATATCTCTTTTCTCATTGGTCAAGTGGGTCATTTTTTTTTAAAGTCAAGTATCAAATCATATAATAAGCAAAGCACATCTTTCCGTAATTCAGACAAAACAGTGAACATAAGGGTGAAAGTTTTAAAGGAGAATTGATATTCAGGTGAGATTTGATGCTGTATGAAAATTACGATAGAGGGAGAAAGAGAATCTCCGTTCTCTTCTCCTCCGATTCAACTTCCTCCTTCTCAACTTCCGTCTCGTTGTTTCCGTCCGTTTCTCCTCTCTCCTCTACTGCGAGTTTTTCTTGGAACTTTTCGTTTACTATCGTTTCTAGGAGCAGGAGAGACAACAGCAGGAGGAAGAACGTTACAGGGAACAGATGATGGTGGATGCTGCCATGCGCAAGATCCAGGAGGAAGACATGATGTGAGTTCTGTACTTAAGTGTGTATTCAAGCTATTTTGCTGTTCTCAAAACTACCAATCCCATAAAACTGAAATTCAAGAATAGGACAGTCTTGTGGCATTGTATAATAAAAACAGCCAGAATTGTTTATGTGAGATAAAATATTGGCATTTGAGGCTTGCAGGGAAGAAAGTGCTTGTCATAGAATAGGAAAAATGTTCCATATTTTGATTTTGATAAAAGAAAATGGCAATATAATGGGGTTCAAGTGAATGGGCAGTTGGTCTTGTGGGCTTTCCATAGGAGGAACAGGCAATTGCAGTTTTTATGAAAGGAACTGATGATGTTGTGTATGCATGGAAAATGCAGAGCTATATGAGAAGGGAACACTTACAGGGATCTGGAGATGGCCCGACAGAAGCAGAAAGAGCTGATGCAGGCCCTCCTTATGAAGAAGTAACACTCCGTCCTCACCGACTTCTCTGTCCGACTCGATGAACGACTCCTCCTTTCCAAACAGGGGTGGGTAATACAAAACGAAAGAAGCAAAAACAAAGGATGAGAAAGTAATGAATCTATTTAGACTAAATCTTTCAGCGATAATGAATGTTTCTGGTCAAAGGATTTTATGCTGTTAGTGTGAAATTGTGGTAAAATCAGGAACAATAATGAAATTATGGAATAAAGTGTTCAATATCAATATCAAGTGTTATTTCAGAATAGCTGAAATATATTGGGAAGGGAAGGTTTTGGTCTACAATGCAGCTCAAAAGCTGTATTGTAGTCACTAAGAGAATCTCACACAATTTATGAATCATTTGCTCTACATTTTGATTGAGAATTTGCACCCAAAGTAGTTTGCTTTCCAGAATTAACATATTCACTTCTTTTCAAAAAGTAGTTCATCTAGAACTAATCTTTGAGTCAAACTCAAAGCCCTGAAAAAAAAGGCTTGAGGAGTTCCTGAATTCTCCTTGAGTTTTACCATTTTTCTAATGGAAAAATATTACATTTTCTGCCTAAATAATAACTCTTCACTCTAGTAAGTGTTGTTTCAGAAAATAGTAGAAACATGTACATACTTCAATAGTATCTGAGCTTGACATTATCTGAAAAGCAGTTTTTTTATTTATTTTTTTTTTTGGGGGGGGGGGGGGTTTGGAAGTAGCTGGCAATTGAGAATTCTTTATTGTCTTATTCAAATCTCAGAATGCATCAGGAGGAACTGAGTTTTTATAGAGCTTTTGTATGTAACTTACATTGTTGAACTCAAAACATTGTGAATGTCTCATCATGCAGACTGAAGGTTTTCAGCCATATTCATGCTTTTGTTTTAACTCGTTTAAAATTCCAGAATCAATTTTTCTTGGTTGACTGGCTATTGGTGATCTGTTCTCTATTGGACAGCTGTCAATGACTGATTTCAAACCAAGAGGGCTTAGGAAGCTACCTCAGCCTATTTAATATGGCTTTCCTGATAAAATGCATAAATGACACCATTGCAGCTTGCTAAGTGTTGGAAGCCATTTTACTGGAAGTGAGGGTACTTTTAAAATAGCTTTTGGACTCGTATTGCTTCATGAAAATGCTGTCAAAGTTGCTAATTTCTTTTTTTGCCGATTACCAGTGACAAATTCTTTTATCCTGGCATTTTACTGTTCCTGATTCAGACGCAGGCAGGAATATATAAAGATGCGAGAGGAACGTGAGCGATCGGAGGCTGAGAAGAAGAGAGTCAAAGATGAAAAGCAGGAGGTTGCTTACCAGCAACTCAAGGAGAAGATCGAGGCTGAACAGGTAGCTTCTCTTACCATTTGTTAGATTTCATAGAGAAATGAAATTATCAGAATGAGGTTTTGCTTTGTGTACATTGACTTTGTACATTGACATTGTACATTGGTGGCTGTGTTCATCATGGAATGAAGTGCTTTGTAAATATGAAAGTGAAGCAGCCTGGAATTATAGTGATGCTTTAGTGGAAATCAATATGGATACTGTTCCTTTGATAGAAGTGAAAAGAAAAGCAAGAAATTGATGAAGAGATATGTATAATGTAGCGAGCAAGAGAGGAATGGGAGGCAGTGATGGAGGTGCTGTGGGAGGAGGAACGACGAGAGAAGGAGCGAGAAATGTGGGAGGAGAGAGAAAGGGAAATGGAGGAGCAGAGGAAGGCCATCAAGGAGAATTACCTCCTCCAGTTGCGTCTCCGTGAGGAACAAAGGGAGCGAGAGAAGGATGAGGAACGCCTTATGCGCATCCAGGTCTGCTCTATTATCCTTTTGCTTGCACACTACATTTTGGATCCTCTGTTGCTGGTTCAACAGGATATTTCTATAAGTGTTTGAAATTATTGAAATTCAGTCGTTCTTCGGCCAGCTGAGCGGCAGGGGTGATGATTTTTCTGCCTAGTGCATGGAGGAATACTTCTTCATTGTGAGGCAGGAGTGGCTGAAGAGACAGGCTGAGCTACTTGCTGAGGAGGAAAGGTTTGTCCCCACCCATTATGTTTTGCTTTCTTCGTTTTTGTTTCCTACTCTTTCATTACAATCTATTTAGACTAAATCTTTCAGCAATAATGAATGTTTCTGGTCAAAGGATTTTATGCTGTTGGTGTGAAATTGCAGTAAAATCAGGAACAATAATGAAATTATTATTAGAATAAAGTGAAACTTCAAGTGTTATTTCAGAATAGCTGAAATATATTGGGGAAGGTTTTGGTCTACAATGCAGCTCAAAAGCTGTATAGTAGTCACTAAGAGAATCTCACACAATTTATGAATCATTTGCTCTACATTTTGATTGAGAATTTGCACCCAAAGTAGTTTGCTTTCCAGAATTAACATATTCACTTCTTTTCGAAGAGTAGTTCATCTAGAACTAATCTTTGAGTCAAACTCAAAGCCCTGATAAAAAAAGGCTTGAGGAGTTCCTGAATTCTCCTTGAGTTTTACCATTTTTCTAATGAAAAAGTATTACATTTTCTGCCCAAATAAGAACTCTTCACTCTAGTAAGTGTTGTTTCAGAAAATAGTAGAAATATGTACATACTTCAATAGTATCTGAGCTTGACATTATATAAAAAGCAGTTTTTTTTATTTTTTTTTTTTGGGAGGGGGGGGGTTTGGAAGTTGCTGGCAATTGAGAATTCTTCATTGTCTTATTCAAATCTCAGAATGCATTAGGAGGAACTGAGTTTTTATAGAGCTTTTGTATGTAACATACATTGTTGAACTCAAAACATTGTGAATGTCTCATCATGCAGACTGAAGGTTTTCAGCCATAGTCATGCTTTTGTTTTAAACTTGTTTAAAATTCCAGAATCCAATTTTTTTGGTTGGCTGGCTATTGGTGATCTATTCTTTATTGGACAGCTGTCAATGACTGATTTCATAAACCAAGAGGGCTTAGGAAGCTACCTCAGCCTATTTAATATGGCTTTCCTGATAAAATGCATAAATGACACCATTGCAACTTGCTAAGTGTTGGAAGCCATTTTACTGGAAGTGAGGGTACTTTTTAAATAGCTTTTGGACTCTTATTGCTTCATGAAAATGCAGTCAAAGTTGCTCATTTATTTTTTTGCTGATTACCAGTGACAAATTCTTTTATCCTGGCAATTTCCTGTTCCTGATTCAGACGCAGGCAGGAATATATAAAGATGCGAGAGGAACGTGAGCAATCGGAGGCTGAGAAGAAGAGAGTCAAAGATGAAAAGCAGGAGGTCGCTTACCAGCAACTCAAGGAGAAGATCGAGGCTGAACAGGTAGCTTCTCTTACCATTAGTTAGATTTCATAGAGAAATGAAATTATCAGAATGAGGTTTTGCTTTGTGTACATTGACATTGTACATTGGTGGCTGTGTTCATCATGGAATGAAGTGCTTTGTAAATATGAAAGTGAAGCAGCCTGGAATTATAGCGATGCTTTAGTGGAAATCAATATGGATACTGTTCCTTTGATAGAAGTGAAAAGAAAGGCAAGAAATTGATGAAGAGATATGTATAATGTAGCGAGCAAGAGAGGAATGGGAGGCAGTGATGGAGGTGCTGTGGGAGGAGGAACGACGAGAGAAGGAGCGAGAGATGTGGGAGGAGAGAGAAAGGGAAATGGAGGAGCAGAGGAAGGCCATCAAGGAGAATTACCTCCTCCAGTTGCGTCTCCGTGAGGAACAGCGGGAGCGAGAGAAGGATGAGGAACGCCTTATGCGCATCCAGGTCTGCTCTATTATCCTTTTGCTTGCAAACTACATTTTGGATCCTCTGTTGCTGGTTCAACAGGATATTTCTATAAGTGTTTGAAATTATTGAAATTCAGTCGTTCTTCGGCCAGCTGAGCGGCAGGGGTGATGATTTTTCTGCCTAGTGCATGGAAAGGACTTCTATCCAAAAGGACTTCAATCCAAAGCCATGAATTCATCTCATGGCATATTTTATTTGGTGAAATAAGGCTTAGAGTTTTTAAAATATGGCAATTTCAATTTTTGTAAAAGATGCTACAGTTGAATGAAAATGCTCTATTTAGGTAGGCAGACCTTCCAACTGGTTAACTAGATTTTGTGCCAAGTTTTGGGAAAACTGAATCCTGGGACCCCCTGAGTATGACACTCATGAGTATGAGAACCTGAGTCTCAGAGCAATGAAAGACTCACTGAAATTCCTGATTTTTTTGGATATAAAAAAAAAAGCCTGAACAGCAATACTTAATTGGAATACTTCCTTGAGACTCAGTATTTGGGATATGTGGCACTACAGTGGCTTGCTGGCATCTCTTTTTGCATCCTGTGCCACTTTTACAAAAATTTTCTTTACAGGGCAGCACTGATAGAGGCAGATTTTTGCACAAAGGCATTACTATGGCAGGAAGAGTTTCATTATTATTTGGAACAGTATAACAGTAGGAGGAAAAAAAGCTAATTTCATGAAAAGTAGAAACCTGTTACTGCCAAGGAAACAATGTGATTGAGCTCTTTGGCTTAGTTGCTAGAGAAATTAATCCTTGCAGGAATCCACTTGAGCAATGGTTGTGAGGTAATTTGAGACACCACAAGATGCTCCTTGGGGCTAGAACACATAAGATTATTTGTTGAAGTCAAGTCTCTGAATGAACTATACTGAATAAACATTTATTGCAAGTTTGTACTTGGCATGGGAGTTAACTATTGAAAAATTTTGTGGCATGTCTGTAAAAACTGGTCTGTAGAGTCCCTGGCTGTTCTTTTCCAGCTGATGAAGCAGTTTGCAGAGGAGGAGCGGCTGGAACAGGCCACCGCAGAGAAGCGACGGCGAAGGGAGGTGGAACATCGGAAAGAGGTCGAGAGGCTGATAGAGGAGAAGAGAAGGGAGCAGGAAGAGAGAAGGAAGGCAGAGGAGCGAGAGTGGGAAGAATGGAAGGAGCTTGATAAGATCAGGTCTCTGCCTTCATTCATGGATAAAGAGAACCACTGCTCTGTAAAATGCCAATAGGGTTCCAGAATTGAGTGTGTGAAGAAAATTAGATGGGGGCTCTTCAGTTGTTAGCCTGGTGGCCATTTAATAGCTCCCAGATTCAAAGTTTAATCATCTAAGTTTAGCAATTTGACATTTGGTCAAGCTATTTATGGCCCCAAATGGTATTAGAAACTAGTCCATAGAATATCAAAAACTTCAATGTTTGTGGTATTCTATGGAATGCTCCCATGCAGTCGTGAGCTTGGAAAGTCCATATTTATTTCTGAACCTCTTTCATCTGACACATGATATCTTGGATCTTCCAGTGGTGGTAAAGTTAAAATCCAAGTGCTGCTATTTTATCCCAGATGAGGCATTCCAACCAGTGAATCGAGAATGCTAAAACGTCATACATTCTTTTTTTCAGGGCTGCCATCATCGAAGAGGAGAAGAAGCGACTGCTGGAGGCACATAGGCCATATTTAGGACCTTTCACCCCTCATCGGCACCTCCAGGGTCGAGGAAATCCTTCCGACGCGTCCCCGTGATGTCCGCTTTTTTAGGGTCGCATTGAGTCTTCGAAAAAAAAATCAGGGCTTTTCAGGAAGATCTGAAACTTGTTGAGGTTTTGATGAATAATTTTTATTTCATATGCTCTGGTAGGAGTGAATGCTATGAGAAGTGGAGTTGTGATCTGTTTTTAGAAACCACTTTCATCTGCAGTACCTAAACATCTTATTATCGGCGATTCTGGTTTTAGCTTTACGACCTACTTCTTTGTGCGAATGGATATCTCTAGTCTGCCTTGACATTCATATCCTAGAAATGGTCACAAAGAGCTCTATGGCTCACAGAATTCTATGTGGGAGTCATTGGACTCAATAATAGTTCCCCTCAAAGTACTTCCTTCCCACCTGGTATGCTGAAGATTTCTCACTTCCACTGTGTACACTCTCATCAGCACAGATCTGTCCTTAGAGGACAAGATCCTCAAGTCTGGGGAAGATCTGCTGCAGGTGCAGATTTTTTTCTCATTCTGCCACCTCATTTCAGAGGTTTCTGGCATGTCTAAACCTTTGTTGCTTTTGTACCAACGAGTACAAGTCGACACACCACAATACAATGCACAATCTGATTGACCAGGATCTCAACTTGGGAGTGAATCCCATTGATTGTGATGATTTTTATACTTTATGTAATAAACTTTCTTTGCTCTTTGAGATGATTCAGTCTTTCATTTTACTCATCGGCAAATACCAAGAGAAATGACCCTTTCCTAACCCATCTGACCCATCATCCTCCAAATAGGTTGACTTTCTCACTCTTTGGCCTTTGACCTGGGAGAAAATAATGGAGGCCTATACATTGTACCGATGCAATGACGAAGACTAGACCGGAAGGGCTTCGGAAAACGAGCCACGCGAGTCGAGTCGGTCCGCGGGAGGACCGGCCCCGAGCACTTAGCTCAGTGGCCCCGACCCGAGTGCAGCGCGCATGCCCCAGAAGGCCACGGTATGTGCTAGCAGACGCAGGGGCCTGGGCGGTGCGTGTGGCTTGGCCGTTCCAGGTTGCGAAGGTCTGAGGTGTGGGACGAGTTTCTAGCGGTTCCTGGGTTCATGGTCCGTGCGCCATCAAGAAACATATATTACCAATATATCCATTTAGATACATGTATGATAACACTTATTTGCTCCAAAGGGCGTGGGAACGTATTCTAAAGTTAAGCCATATGGGCCACGAATGCTCCCTATCAGGGCTGGATTAAGGAGGCCGAAGGGGGCTGTTGCCCCGGGGCCTACTCTTGCAACCTAATAAGGTTGCGTGTTCTTTAGATGGTGATTTAGCAAAGTCTCTCTCTTCGCTCTGCCGACTCCAAGCAGGAAAGGAAGGTCCGTCCTTAGATCAACGTAAACAACTGCAGAACTTATCGGATCATCAATGGGGGAAAGACCAGAAGAAACACGCGGAAGACGCATCCTCGCGTTCGCAAGAGGGACACACGACACCCAAAACGACACCCACCCTGCTCACCCGCGGAGTTCGAGACGCACTCGACGCACCCACGTGTCACCCGCCCGACGCTTCCCGACCCAATGCCCTCCCCCACGTGCCATCCGACCGACACGAACGCCGCATAGGACAGGACGAGGGCGTGGAGAGAGTGGCCCCGCCATGGCCACTCCGCGTTTGGAACCGGGGGAACTCTTCTCTACTCGATACCGCGTAGGGCACGAGGACTCCACATAACTTCACGAATATCTAATCGATTGAAACCATGTCTGGAGGGAGGATAGCCTCGATTCTTGGCTTCCGATATCCTTTCATTTTGTTTCGAACGTGTGCGTGGGCTCGCAAAGGTGCAACCGGTCGGGCCAGTTTTGCGACTTGTGTTCGGCGAAGTGGGAAAGCGAGTTCTTTTTTTTTTTGCATTCACCTTTAGTTTTTAACAATTGAGCGACACGTCTGAGCATGCTCTCGATCGAGTTCACGCGCCCTTGCAACGGGATCCATACGCTCCCACGGCGCAAGCATATCGCTCGGATCGATGTCGTACTCCGGGACGAGTTTCCTCGGATGGAATCACGAATCTTTTATGAAGTTGTGGTCCGGGGACCGTACGGGCCACCCCAGCACATAGATCCGTTGTCGACGAATCAATTTTGGGTAGCCCGAGAGGTGTGTCTGGGATGGGTCTCATCGGACGATCGTCTTCCCCGCGTTCATTTCGTAGTCTTCCACGATTCTGAGCCATCCGTCACCGAGGATGCTTGCACGGAGCTCCGTGTTCGTGTGGCCAACGATACGCCATGCATCGACGGCCGCGTGGAGCTCTGTGTTCGTGTGGCCAACGATACGGCATGCATCGACGGCCGCACGGAACGTCCATGGAGTCGCCGTGCTACTCCTCGGGCGATCGTGCACCCCCAAATCGCTTTTATTTCAACCGCCAAACGCGACCGTAACTCGAAGATGCTGCGCCGTGAGCTGACGATCCCACATTTTCCAGATCCCAGACGGTTCATCTCGGTCTCTTCGGACCGATGGGTCCTTCCACGTTCCAAGGCTGGGGTCACCGTGCAAAGTCGAGTCGCTAATGGCGAAATTGAAGGCTTCGTCTTGGATTCTGCCTTCAGGCCGACACCGACCTCCACTTCGGTCGTGTCTTTCGGCTCTTGCGCCAGCCGGACGGCTCAAAATCGTCCTTTCCCGAGGTGAACACGAGCCTGAGCTTCGCTGGTCATCCACTGGTCATTCGCTGGTCTTCCGCGTCTCAGGTTTGGTCTTACCGCGCATTCATGTTACTGTAGTACAGTGGCGTGCCCAAGGGGGAGGGGGGTTTGGGGTCATAACCCCCCCCCCTTGGGGTCAGTTTTACAGGTTCGATTCTCACGAATTTTTTTATTTTACCATAAATACAGGGTGGGTTATCATACGTTAACCCCCCCCCCCCATTAGGATGGGTAATAAGTGTTTTTTTATATGGCAATCCTCCCCCCTAATCGGATTTCCTGGGCATGCTAATGCTGCAGCATGACCTACACCTAGCTGTGCTGCAGTTTTACTGTGACGAAAGGCCGTTGTCGAGCAGAGGAACTGTTGCGAATTTCTCCGGAAATGCGTTTCATGGCGAAGGGAGTCGTGAAGGAAGAGAGTTAATTTTTTAGCAAGCGTAGAAAGTGCGAATTTCTTGTCAGTTTGGTGAAGCTGGACTGGCAGCTCACACTTTTGAGAGCCAATTACTTGCTCGTTCAAAACAAAGTCAAAGGATATTGGAAGCCAAGAATCAAGGCTTTCTTCCCTCCGAATCTGGTTTGAATTGATTGGATATTCGTGAAGTTATTAGCACGCAAACACCGAAACCAAAAACATTGGACCAGTTTTGGCGATCTCAAATTCAACAAGTAAGTTTAAAGTCAGTCCCTAACTAATCAGTTCTTCTATGTGGGAAGCTGATGTGTCGGGAGAAAATGTCAACTGGATTCAAGAAAACTTCGGAGTCATTTTTGGGCTTGCTAAAGGGGGAAAACATCGGGAAGGCCATCGTGAAGTGAACTTGCATGGGTGTGATTAGGTCCTCCGCCGATCAGCTTTGCTCAGTTTGTCAAACTTCAAAGTTATGAGGTTCTGTGTTATGTTGATCCTGGCTGTAAGCTGTGTCTCTGTGGTTCCATGCTTTCACATCTATCAAGAAGTCATTTTCATATACTTATTATTATTATTATTGGAGAATGACTTGTTTTGTATGGCATGAATATGGAATTGATTGACCTCTCAAATTTGTTTCTAACATCTCCAGTATCTTCAGATTTCTTTACCAGTCTCTTTATTGCAGATCTGCTTGGGACTTCCCCTTGCCCCAAATGCTGCTTTACCCTTTTGCAGTCCACTGGGGACAATATAGTCCAACAATCTCCATGGCATTACGAGTAAAATGGACCACAAAAGGTCAAAAGCACAGTGCCCCAAGGCCCTCTGTATTGAAATGACATTTCATAATAAATACAGGCTGAGCTGTAGGCTGTACATTGACTAAAAGTTCAGAAGAAAACTCCACGGGTAACACAATACAAATTGGCAGTTTCCAAAGCCTTAACCTAAGTGCTTTGTCATGTATGAATTTACAAAATAGCATCCTGTTTAGGAGACCTGTACTTTCGCTAATGATCCCAAGGGCCATACACTTGGCATAGGACAGGCTTGATGCATGTCCCTGGGACAAGTGACTCTACTTTCTCTGCCACTTATGTATATATTTTGATTTCAACTGCTTTCTTCCCTATTGAGGGATTCAGGCATGTTGATGTGTGCTCCAAACAGAGTGGTAAGAATTAAGGCAACTTTGACCCTTTGTGCTCTCTTGTTGAATCAGGTTTGATATTTGTCATGGCATATGCATCATGTTGTAGCAAACGGTTTTAAAACTATTCTCTACTCCTTTCACAGTTGACTCAAGTATTCAAAATAGTCAATACAAGACATACAAAGGAATCCAACCAGTAACTTTAGAGCAGGGGTGTGCAAACTTTTCAGTCTGCAGGATTTTACCACGTACTGCTTTGTTACATTGTTGCCATCTTGCTGTAATTTACCTACCCCATCTTCTTGCAGATAACTGTTGCCGTCCTTGGCCAATCCTGCTATTTAGATTTTAGGCTTGCTTACATATTTTTTTGCACTGCTAAAGCTTCTTGAAGATGCCTATTCGTGCTAAGAAATGGATCCTCCTCAAAGAGTTTGTTGGGGAGCCAAAACCATCTGACTTCAAACTGGAGGAAGAAGATGTGCCAGGGGAGAATATTGGGGAACTCCAGCCTGGAGGTGGGTCTTCTCAGTCTTGTATGAATTAATCCTTATTGGTGAAATATTGGGATTATTACCTTAATAGCTTTTGGAATGTAACCCTGCTTTGCAATAGCCTTGGATGCATGTCAGTTCCTGGAGACCCATTTTGTGTTGGCTATGCATATGGTATATTGAAAGATGGGATATACATCTAGCAATAGTAGAAGCTTTATCTTTAGCAGCTTCTCATTCCAGCTGCATTTGATTTGAAACATGCTGTTTAATTTGCATAATGTGTGACCATAAAACTGGAGATTATCTCCATAAGTTAAATTCCCACTTATCTCCATGATCCCAAAATGCAGTCTGAGTGTACACTTCCCTTGGGTGTTGGATTGTGTGCATACTACCCTTAATTATTCCTGATTCCTGCAACTATATTTGGAAATGTGTGATATATTGGATGTAGCTTTGTCATAATTGACAGCCTATATAAATATCACTGTGCTTACCTTGGAAGAGATTCTGTTGATGGTTTAAAAAGATAGGGTAGCTTGTAAATTCTTTTTACAAAAAATTGGTTTTTTATTTATGTAATTTTCACCTTCATTTTGGCTCCAGGTAGGTAAGCATAAAATGGATTTCAACAGTGGATCCATAATTGAGCATGTCCCATGAGAAATTATCTTCACTCTATTTTCATGATCTTCAATTTCTGTTGTTTATCAGTCATATTCTTTAGTTTCCAACAGCAGCTCCTAGGAACCGTTTGAAGCGGATTTTAAAGAATCGAGACAGGTTAAGGTTTTCTTTTCCATTTTGCAGTGTCAGAGTAATTCCTATAACCATGATTATGTATTTTTTATGTTGATGTTTGAGTATACTTGTCGAATTTTGGCTCTCTTGACAAAGAATGGTCACATTTATTTTGGTTTTATAAGCTGTTTAATCTTTTGTTATTCTATATTCCAGAATTCGTGATACAGGCTGAGTACATCAGTGTTGATCCCTATCTGAGGTGAGTATTTCTATAAGGTTCATTCGGGAAAGAGGAAATGAATGCAGCAATAAGTATTGTACATATTTACATATGCCTGGACAAGCTCATGTGCTTGTTTTTTTCGTATGTGTGGTCTGTTTTGACATCTGAATGTTATCCTTTTATCTGAATATCAAATACTAAAAATGAATAGGAATCTGAACTCAAGTTTGGAGTCAAAATTTCCGGAACCAACATCATGGAATTGAGGATTGTTATTTAAAAAGGAATGTCAGGAACTTTGGAATTCCCTTTGTTGATATGAATTCTTTTTCAGAAGAGATGCACAAATCCCAAAGATTGGTACTCAAAAGTGGTGTTTGGCCCCTAATTGTAAGAGAATCTAGAAGTGTGGATAACGTTTTCCCCACTATGAATTATCCACCACATGGCTAGATCCAGCCTTCATGTTTACTGACCCTCACCTTCAAAGGTGCTGTGAGTTGGCATATAATAGAATTTTTTGTTAATTCATTCCCTTTTTGAGAATTTCAGTAGTTTCAATTGTTGTTTCATATGCTACTCCACATGGGGCTGAAAATTTGTTTCTAGAAAAATCCTTTGATGCATCACTCTTTCCCAAATAAACATTTGTTATTAGGTGCTGCTCAAGTGTTGCTGCAACTTCTTCCCTTTTCTAATCACATGTTTCATATCCTGTAAAAAAAAAAAAAAAAAAAAAGATATAATGTGAAGCTTGGAAGCTATTCATGAGGATTCTAGAAAGTCCATGCATACAATTTTGCAATACTGACTAATTTTTAGAGTGGCTTTTCATGAATCATCAGTGGGAAAAGTGCATTGGGTGTGTCTGTGTTTTAGATCTAGTGCAAAGCGACCTGGAATTCCTCCTATGGTCATGAATGGGACGCAAGTTGCACGGTATGTTTTGTTTGCTATCACAATGAGAAAGTGTATAATGCCAGCTTATTTAGCTCATATTCTTTAATTGGTTCAATGCATTTCAAGATTCAGGTACTGGGTATGTCAAAGCCACTGTTTCCTCCATCTCATTGTCGTAACAGTTGAACAAGCAATATTGCTGAAAGTATTGCATTACATTACAGAGCACATATAAGTGAATGCGTTTCTCTCTTTTCCATTCTTTGCATAATGATTTATATAAGTAGGCAGAAATTATGTTACTATAAGTGAACTCTTTCATGTTTTTTACCAGTACCAAAAATTGCCCATGGTCGACTGACTGTAGATTAATCAGGAATCTGAAAATCTTCCATTGAGATTAAAAGAGCCAGAAATGGCCATTAAGTTTTCCTTATCTTCAGTTTTCTTCATTTTCCTCTCTAACTACTGGAATTTTGCCATATTCTTTAGTTAGTGACAATACAAGTATTGATTTTCTCTGTCATATATGTAGTAAAAGAGTCAAATGTGGCAACCAAAATTGAATACAACAGGCACCCTAGATGCTGGGCTTTCAAAATACAGTGGAACCTCGCTTAACGAGCATAATTTGTTCCAGAATCTTACTTGTAATGCGAAACACTCGTTAAGCGAATCACTCGTTATGGGAGGTGCTCATTAAGCAAGGTTTGACTGTATATGAATATACAGTCAAACAGAGTGATTCGCTTAACGAGTGTTTCGCATTACGAGTAAGATTCGGGAACAAATTATGCTCGTTAAGCGAGGTTCCACTGTATGCATATCCAACATGAGGAACATCAAAGATGTGACAGCCTACTTCATGAAATCAAGAGCATGGTCATTTACTTCACATCACTTGATTCCAGACATATATAGGTGAATTATTATCTGTGCAGGGACCATCTGTACCATTTTTTTGAAGTGGTGAATCTTAGGGTCTGAGGTCCTAACTCTGAAAGGATGGGTTGGTGGTACTAGTGAATATCTGTCACAATAGGAAATCTTATCTTTACTAGCAGTTGCTAAATATAAAATATGACAATTTTGAGCTCTATCGCTCTTTCTTTCCAGTGACTCTTGAAGAAATCTGACCTAATTTTGTGTTTGATTTAAATCAAACTCTTGGCTTAGCAAACCTATGTTGCAGTCATAAAGGGATGCCCTGAAAATGTATCCTCCCCCTTTACTTTTTCTCATTGGAGCCTGGCATCCCTCCAGTTTTTTGTGGTAACCTATTCTGAGGACCAACTTGGATGGCTGCCAATTGGTCTGCCTGAATAGTTGCCAATAAAATTGAATGAAATAGCAGTGCCTCATAAAAAAGGCATTTGGATTCTTATGTAGTGGAAATGCAATGAGGAGGCAGTCATCTGGCACAGGTATGAGATGACTCTTGCTTTTGATGTCCCTTATATTATTCTTTACTCCCAAGTCCAACATCCAACACATTTGAACTTCCTTGTTGCATCTGATCTTATGTCCATGCTTGCCTTGGAAAACCAAAATTTCCTCGAAAATTCAGTCTGGTGTGTCCCATTTTGAGAGAAGTAGATATGAAAGACATGATGGGTTTTCCATTTGTACCCAATGAGATATGAAACTGTGAAAACCTCATATGCTAATAGGTTTTATTTGCTAAACTTTTCATCAGACCAAAGAGGCTAATGAAGTTGCTGAAGCATGTAATGTGCTTTTGGTACAATTCGTGAAGCACTTCGTTAATTTAAGGAAGAGAATAAAGTTGGTATATCTTGTTTTGTGTGCATTAATTCATACCTGCCTGTGATGAACCCTTGATGGCTTCAGTTCATTGAACTTTTGGTGAACCTTCTGTACTCTCTTGTCAGGGTGAGCCTGAGTCGAAACAACAAGTACGTAAAGGGCACGGCCGTGGTTGCAAATGTTGGATGGCGTACACACACACTGGTAAAACCAGAGACCCTGCCAGAAAACATTACTGGTCTTATGATGCTCCCCTCCTGCTTCTCTCCACTACCCGTCTCACTTGCCCTGGGCACCTGTGGCAGGCCTGGGTATGACCTCCATTGCCTCCAATTCCAGGACAGACTGGTCCAGAAATGGGAATGTAGGAAATACAATGTTCAATCATCTTTGCAATAATTTTCAAGATTCAACTGGAATATTATTCATTTCAGACATATGCAGAAAACCTGTGGAGAAAGTGACTTTTGAAGTCATTGGGCCACTTACTTGTCTTAAAATAAATTCTTGGCATTTACCAGTGTTTTTGATTGCCTATGATGTGGCCCTCCAGTTCAAGTAGACAAAGAAGATCTTGGAATTTTAGATGGTGTGATTGCCTTACTGACTTCATCTTTACACTCTAGGAATTCTGCATACTTTGGATTCTTGGAGTTGTGTCAGCCAAAGAAAGGCGAGACAGTTGTAGTCAATGCAGCTGCTGGAGCAGTTGGCAGCCTGGTGGGACAGATTGCCAAAATCAAAGGTATTCCTTGTCTTATGGCAGCTTTCCTAACTATAGTCAGAGGCTTCATGTGACACAAGAGAGAGCTCCAAAGCAGCTTCTTTTTTTCTCATTTTCAGCTCATATGGCATGGCTTCAGTGGCTTATTGCCATTAGCTGTGCTTCTCTTCACATACTAAAAATCTTGAAACAATGGATTCAAATGGAAAATAGATTCCATCTTATCTTTTTTTCACCAGTTTCATTTGTCTTTCCGAAATATTGTCTGCATAAATATTGATGCATATATATATTGGGAAATATGTTGTGCTGCTTGTCTTTTGGGTACCTTTTTGGCCTTTATGACAAAACATAGTGAGAGCATGAAGGATGCAGACTTGTGAGAGTTCTTGTGTTGAAGGTTTCTGCATTTTGTCAAGGGGGGTCAGGCAAGAATCCCAGAGAACATTACAATGAAGATGGTGAGATGTACTTGGTTTCTAAGGCAGCTGTTGAATTTCTTGTTGCTGGTGACTATTGACAATTTTCAAGATATTGAGTTCTTTGCAAATTACCAATTCGATCCTGTAATTGCAGTTGTGCCTTGGGATTATGCTCAGGCAGTGTGCAGCATTATCATTTGACATTTTAAAAGTGAGTTTACTTTCATTTCACCCGTAGAATGTCGTGTGATCGGGTATGCTGGGAGCGATGATAAGGTGGAGTGGCTGAAGGAACTGGGGTTTGACCATGCATATAATTACAAGACTGTCGATTTGGCTACATCACTCAAGGAGGCTGCCCCAAGTGGTGTTGATTGTTTCTTTGACTGTGTGAGATCATACTGCTTTTCCTTATAGCTATGTCATAAACCTATAATACACCTATGCTGTTTCCTTGCCAATGTTGAATGAATTTATGAGACCATTATGTTGTGGATGTGGCTTTAACAGGTTGGAGGGGAGATGACTGCTGTGATAATGCAACACATGAATACCTTTGGTCGTATGGCCATCTGTGGAAATATCAGCGGTTATAATTATGATACTGCAAATATGCCTAAAGGTGAGAGGCACACTTTAGTTACTTCATGACTTTACTTTCTAGGGTCTTGCAAAAAATCTAAAATTGCTATTCATTCGTGAAAATGATGTGAAGCCAGTGTTGCAGTGATTAACATATGCATCTGACTTGTGTTAGCATAGTGCATGGTGAAGTTGAAATACATATTGCAGTGGTATTTTAAGATAGAATTGCTATTAGATTTTCCCCCTTTTTTTTCCTGACATTAATGGAAGATGGATTGCAATACTTGTGTGCATAATGGGAGAAAGGTCTAGGCTTACTTAATAAAAATTTGTTAAATGGTGCATTTATTGAACTGAACTGTCTAATTTATCCATAACTTATTTTACTGTGAGTTAAGGCCTTGGGCTTTAAGGAGACCCATCTGTAGATTTTTCAATTGTCTCCAATTTGAGTGCTCAGAATCTATATATTTATCTCTCGATTGCATTGAAATACCTAGTACAATGGAGTTTAATGGAGGAATGGAATGTTTCAGTGACTTTTTAAAAATACATTATTGCAGTGCCTCAGTGGACTCCAGTTGTGCTGTTTAAGCAACTTCGCATCGAAGGCTTCATGGTTTTGCGTTGGATGGATCGATGGAATGAAGGAGTGCAACAGATGGCAGAATGGGTCAAGGAGGTAATGAGATGTGATTTTGCATTTTTTTAGGTGATTTTAAATGTGCAGTGTAGACGTAGCCCCATCGGGATTAGGAAACTATTCATCAGCAGAGAACATATGTTTTAACAAGCAAATGAAATCTACATTTTTAATGTAATTTTTGCAATTACCTTATTATTGAATTTTTCCTGGGGTGAAAGGACATATTTTTATTCTCTGCAAAATTCTGCAGCTCTCAGATCCCTTTTATTGGTGGATGTTGGAATATCTGTTTATGTAGTGCTTTTAAGTTTCATTTGCACTCTTTGATTTATCTTTCAAATTAAAGGCAATTCTAAGTTAATAGAGATACATAATTCTACCACATCAGGAGATGGATTGTGCTCTCCTTGTCTTAGGTTCTTTTCTGTTGTTCCCTTTTGCTTCTTTCCCAATGTGCATGTCTCTTTCCGTTTCTATAGGGACGATTGAAGTATCGTGAGACGGTGACAGCAGGATTTGAGAAAACCCCTGAGGCTTTCATAGACATGCTTAAGGGGGGAAACACTGGGAAAGCTGTTGTGAAGGTGAATTTGCAGGGATGTGATTAGGTCCTCCTCTCATCAGCATTGCTCAGTGTATCAAGCATCAAAGTTATGAGGTTCTGTGTTATGTTGATCCTAGCTGTAGGCTACATCTCTGTGGTTCCATGCTTTCATATCTTTCACAACTTGCATTAGTGTAATTAGCATCTGAGCTTGCCATATCAAAATTTATCAACACGCATAAAGCACCTCGTAAATATTTCAGGGGTCATATTATCTTATGCAATAAACTTTCTATGCACTTTGTGATGATTCAGTCTTTAATTTAAGTCATCTGAAATTACCAAAAATTATCTGCTTATCTTCCTTACTTTCAAAGCCAAAGAAATTAGATGTGTCAGAAATTGAGGGTGAAGGAGCAGGTAGTTATTCTTAGGGACTTCAGAATCCAAAGATTCAAGTCCTGTTAAGAAATTATAATTAATGCCTTTGGGGCAATAATGTGGTGCTGGTCCTGTTTTACTCAGGGCTGTCCAACATTTTGGAATGGCTAGTTGCACTGGAATTTCTGTTTTACACCTGACTTTGTCATTTTTCTCTTGACTCAGACACTCAGGCTTAAGTAATATCCCATGCACAGGAGTCCAAATCAAGTGAAAAACACTGTAAAATGAATGGCTTGATAGTCAATATGTATATTTAAAATTGAGTGAAAAATGTAAGAAAAGATCACTTAGGGTACAATCTTACATGCATTTTATTTTCTTGAATCTTACGTGATGGATCTGCCCCACGGGCTGTGCCTTGGATACCTCATATCCCTATATCATTGTTCCAATATCAGCTTAGGCATAGAAGAAATACAGAAAACAACCTGGGCAAGGCCCGATTTATATAGTGAGTCTCTTTTGCTCCTTCCTTTGTAAACATTATACCAATGTTAATAACAGATGATGGAATGAGACTGATAAAGTTTTGTCAAAAATTTTCAACTGCCTACATGGAAAGTGGCTCTGAATGTTGAAGAAATGTTCATTTAGCATTGATCGATTTGAAGCAGTGAAGCATTAGCAACATTCAAGAAACATTCCATATTATACCAGGATAAGTTTTTTGCCAAGTCATAGATCACATTGGCTAAACAGCATTTGATCAGATGCAGCAAACTGGTGGGAGTGTGTGTGCATACATAAAAAAAAGTAAGCATCAGAAAATGGGCATGCACATTTTATTCAGCTCAATTACTGATGTGCATTTGGGCTTCAGTTCTCCTGTACTTCGTATCACCTGGCTGAATGCATCTTGAAGTATTTATACATCAGAAATGAAGATTGAAGACAACTCAGAAACTTTTCGGTGGGGATTTCATTAATGTGGATTCTTAATGAGGATTATAGATCTTCTTCAATACAATCAGTTTTGTTTTTTGAAATTATAGTATGTTTTGCCGGAACAGTTTTTCTGATAATGCTAAACATAAATGTTCGTCGCCAATCCTGTATTTTCCAAGACACTTCCATGGAAATATTACATGCATATCCTGAATGCTCAAGAAAATGTGGTGACCCCAAGTGACGACCCTACCCACACAACACAAGTGTATCCCTAAGATATCCCCTTGGGACAAGTAAGAAGTCCCAGGTTGTACTTGCAATCGCCATCCTATCCGCAATGGACTCGTGCAGGTGCAGGAGAACCCATTACTTTCAAAAATGTCTCTGTTTGATATAGGAACACCTAATCTTGAGTTCTTGACCAATTGAAGAGAGATGGTCACAGGGAGAGAAAAACCCGGTTCCAAAGGGGCCCCAGAATAGGAAACACATATCCAAGGAACGAAATTTTGCATTTATGCACGAGGAGTTATCGTCGAGATGATTTAACCTTATTACCCTTTACAATGTTTGGGTTCAGGTCTCCAACCAAGATAGTTGTATCCAGACATGCGGATCAGACATCATTAAATAGATATAGCGGAATAAATTAAAATTCGGACCGCAATTTTTTCCCTTTCCCTAGTGGCAGTTTTCCTGATGTTCGCTACAAAAATCCTTACTTATCCTCAGGAGAAATCAAGAAGAAAAATTTAATAGAAAAGATCTGAGGCTGGAGATCAGGGCTCACGGGAGACATCTACCGTCGAAGGTATGCACCTGACTGAAGGCGACGAAGATCCCTAAAGACATCCCTAAGATGTCCCGAAGACATTCTCCTTGAGATATCCAGAAGAATTCGGCGTATGATGTCTTAGCACATTCACTACCAGGTCTACCTACAGGGATTTCTCTCCTTGAGCCAGCCATTTTTTTTGGTATGAACGATTTCAACTTACTTTATTTGAGCTACCATAACTTTTAAACTGATGAATGGATTAATGTGAACATTTTGCCATACCTTCAGTACTTCTTCAGGGTGTGATGCCTGGTGTCATAGTCACCAGGATACGTTAGGCTGCTATTCCATGTCAGACCAATCGTCAGAATGAATTTCCTGAATATCAAGGGCAATATTGGGTGTACGCCATGGAGATGGCCTTCCAACATCGCCCTCAGATCGGTGGCGTAACTACCGAATGTGCAGGCGGTGCGACTGCACCGGGGCCCACGGGCCAGAGGGACCCAGACGCCGAGCTACGAAGAGGGGGGGGGGGCGTTTGCTGGGAGCCCCTTGGCATCGGGACGAGGTGAAAGCCAGCAGCCGAAAAGGAAGGTCAAAAGGTATGAAAGGAGTTGAACGCGGCACTGCACAGACATCTCGCAACTGGGACGCCGCTTTGTGTGCATAAATGAAGTGGTGACTACTTCAAACACCATTCACTCGGGGTCGGCTTAAGGGGGGAGGAAGGGGCTGTTGCCCCGGGCCCCACTTTTCCAGGTTGCCCTCGAAGGAAATTAAACACGTTAAGTATTTGCGCAAAGTAGCAGGGGGGGGGGACCAAGAATTGACTTGCCCCTGGCCTCGCAACTTCTTGATCTGGCTCTGCATTCACCCTTTCACTAATGGCGGATCCAGAAGAGGGAGGGCGACTGCTCTTCCTCTGGCCAAGTTCGCAGTCTATTTTTAAAATTAATGTTCGTTAGCTACTGTGAAATGGATATTCAGGGTTTTTACCCCAGACGAAAATTGAATAAGACGATAGGACGGAGGGTGGTGGCAGATGAGGAGGGGGGGGGGGGCGGGGAACTAGGAAACAGGTTTCCTAGTTCCCCCCCCCCCCTTCCATATCCGCTACTCCCTTCCACACTGACTTCAGCGACCGCCAATGATTTATATGCTGCCGGAGAAAACTAGAAAATTTATTTATAAAATATAAAAATATGACGCCCACATAATTCAACAATAAAAAATTGGAGAGCGGGGCCCACATCATTCCTTGCACCAGGGCCCATGCCAACCGCGCTACGCCACTGTCTCAGATGAAGCTCTCTCTTCACTCTTCATACACCACACTATCTTCCGAATCTCTCACACTAAGTAAGGTTTCATCTTCGGAAACATCGTCCGCATATATTTCACCTACGATCTCACTTTCGTTCAAAGAACATTGCATTCGCGATCTACCCTCAGCCATCTTTGCAAACAGACCATGTCATTTCAAAACGGAAAAGGATGAGAACGGGTGAAAAACTATCGCATATCCATATATATATATCGAATCTTTGAAGCTGCTACCAGCTACCGTAAAAGTTTCACTACATTTGAGTGACATCTGCAGGAGAAAATGGTAACTACGTTCACGTCGGCATGAACCCGTCATACGACGGAAATGGCACTTGCGCGCGGTAAATTCGTACCCGTCGAGTGAAGGGAACGGCGGTGAATGTCTTAAAGATATCCCGAAAGGGATATCTCGAAGATGTCGACAATAGATGTCTAAAAGGCGTCAGTCGCTGTAATCAAGGGATTTTCTCCTGTTTCACAAGATACCGAATGGGGGATCGACAAAGGATGGAATCTTCTGGCTCGAGAATCCCATCAAAATAATCATCTGATCGAGTCAAGTTTGTCACGGCATCACCTCGTCATTCAATTTCAAGGTATTCACAAAAGAAAACGGGAGGGCATCCCCTCTAAAAGCTAAAACAACTCAAGGATCCCGCCCATTCTTACGTCAGAGCCCGAGGAGACAACGGCAGTCGAAGCGGCGCGGCGAACTTGCCAGCGCAGAATGAGGCAGCGTTTCCATGGGATGCAATGGCGATGCATTTTCCTCTTATATTCAACGTTCATTGCTTCAGACTTGAAGCGAACATTTTGGGGCTGAGTGTAGCGCTGGAATGGCTTTGCTTTAAATCATAGGAATTGGAAGGGATATTATGTGCTTTTAGTAGTTCTTACACGAATGCCAAAATTTCTTTTTTCAATAGTACTTTTCCCTTGTTGACGGGATTTATATAACAGTTTTTTTTTTCTCAGGATGTGAATTTTTATCATTTGATCCTGAGAATTACAGTCATTGCCATGAATTTCTTTGCTCAGTTTATTCCCGTTAAACGACTATAACAAATAAAAAGTATCATGTGAATTCAAAATAAATAGTGCATCACACAGATGTTACACAGAAAATTCAAGAGATGTAATTACTTTCCGTATGGATAAAAATTCCAGATGGTTCTTACCATATATAAACTCCAACCCCTCGCCCCTTCCCATGCCCGACACAGCACCAAAAGTAAAGGGCAGAGGCGTAAGTATCTCAGAACCACTCAAGGCAGCATCCTTCTCAAGAATACCACTCGATCGTTCATCATCTAATAGCAGGGGCGGATACAGAAATTTTTCATGGGGGGGGGGGGGGGGGTTCCCAAGTTTCCTCCCCCCTACCCCCCCCCTCCGCCTACCACCATTCCTCGTCCTTTGGCCTTTTTTATATTTTGTCTGGCGTAAGAACTTGAGTATATATTTCACTGGCTCCAACAAAATTTAATGCAGATGCTATTTTGATTTAATAAATCAAATGCTAACCTGGCCATAGGGGGACGGTCGCCCCCCCCCCCGCCCCCCCCCTCTCCGGATCCGCCACTGTCTAGTTGGTGATATAAAAATGGAGCAATTTGAATTTAATG